CATCACACTCTGCCCATCAGCTCCACTGCCTGACCATCGGGCTGCTCCACTGCCTGGCTGTCAATCAGTTCATGGCTCTCCTCACTTCATCCCCACTGCAGGCAGCTGGGACATTTCTGGCAGCAGGGACAGCAGCAACCAGATCCCAGCACAAGTACAGAGCCTCAGTTACCTTAGGAGCCAGATTTTGGCAGACTGGCTTTCTGCATCAGCACAACCCACCACAGATCTGATTGCTGAAGAAAAAGCTGTCAAAACAAGGTCAAACACACCCTTAGTTCTTGCTCCTGGTCCTCCAGGGCAAGGAGGCTGGTGGGGTTTGGGACATGGCCACAGGCAGCTCACAAGCCCATGCAGGAGGGCTCTCACACCAGGTCCTCCATGGGCACCCCCAGGGTGAACAACCGTGCTGACAAAAACACAGAATCACAGAATTCCAGACTGGTTTGGGTTGGAAGGGACCTTAAAGCTCATTCAGTTCATTGCCCGGCAGCAATGAACCCACCCTCATGGGCAACCCCTGCAGCTCCCCTGGACAGAGAGACCTGGCTCCTTTAGAGCTGTGACAGCAGCACAGAGCCTCTTCCCCCACTGCCTGACTCCTGCATCCCTGCATCCCAGAATCCCAGAATGGTTTGGGTTGGAAGGGACCTTGAAGCTCATCCAGTTCCAACCCCCTGCCATGGGCACGGACACCTTCCACCAGACCAGGTTGCTCCAAGCCCCGTCCAACCTGGCCTTGAACACTGCCAGGGATGGGGCAGCCACAGCTTCTCGGGGCACCCTGTGCCAGTGCTTCAGCACCCTCACAGGGGAGAACTTCCTAATGTCAAATCTACCTCTCCCCTCTGTCAGCCCAAAGCCATTCCCCCTTGTCCTGTCACTACAGGCCCTTGTGAAAAGCCCCTCTCCAGAATTCCTGTCAGCCCCTTTAGGCAATGGAGCTGCCCTAAGGTCTCCCAGGAGCCTTCCCTTCTCCAGGCTGAATACCTGCTCTTAAGGCTTGTGGCCAAGGGCAGAGCATCTCCAGAAGCATCCACTGCCTTCCTCCATCTCCCCTCCATGGGAGGGGGCAGCAACCCCGAGGGACCAGGCCTGCCCCACTGCAGGCACCACAGGGGCCCTCATCCCAGGGGTCACCTCTCAGGGGCACAGGGTGGTCACAGAACCGATCAGGACAGCCCTGACCGCAGCACTGAGCACACCAACCATACCCACCCCCCTGCATGACCGTCTGCCAGGCTGCCTGTACCTTGCCCACAGCATCCTCCGGCCGCATCACCAGCTTCTCCGCTCCTGTCCTAGGGATTCAGCCCCGTGTCCCTCTCCTCAGGCGGGTCATTTTGTCACTGGAGGCATAGGCAGGGAGCGGAGAGCGGGGCAGAGCTGCCTGCAGAGAGGAGGAGATGGCAGGAGGCTGGCAGCTTCCCAGCGAATCAGGCTGCAGCAGCGGTCCCTGCTGAGCTGCTGCGGGCCCGAGCGTGCTGGAGCGGCTGAGTCACGCTCCCGCTGCCTGCAGCAGTGATTTCCTCCCGCAGCATCCCACTGCCACCAGCCCCACATGGGGCAGGTGTCTGCAACCGAGCCCCGGGGGCAGATACCACCTTCGGGGGTGCTCCAGGGATGAAGGGGCTCCAGCACTCAGGTGCTGTTGGAAAGGGGCAGCAGCTCTGGTGGAGGTTTGGGGGCGTCACAGGCTTGGCAAGTGCGATGAGAAATCCCTTCCGTAACTGTCAATTCTGGTCAGGCTATAGTAGGAAAGCATCCGTCCTGATACAGTGGAAGGTGTGATTCTGTGAGATATATATATATATATATTAGTTATACACTGGGATGTGATGAGGTAGTGGAATTTTACTGAGGAATTTTGGTATTGCTCATGCTTAAGTAAAAGAAACAAAAGGACACCCTGGCCCTGGAAACAAGAACTTTGCTTCTGGGAAGCTTTGAGCAGTCCATGAAAACCATGGACTGTTTTTCCATAAAGCATAACATAAAGCATAGCATAAAGCATAACAGTTTTATCCCCGGGACAACGATGGTAACACCAGGATTCCAGCTGCTTTGACACGTCCTTGAAACCCCCCTGGCATCATCTAGTGTCACAGATCAGTAACCGAGTAATCATAGAGCCACAGAACAGTTTGTGTTGGAACGGACTCTAAAGGTCAATCAGTTCCAACCCCCTGCCAGGGGCAGGGACACCTTTCCGCTAGAGCAGGTAATCAGAACAAGCCTGACTCCATGGACACCTGATCAAATAGACAAGCACCCAGAATGCTTCCGAAACAGAATGGCTATGCCAGGTTTCATTGTGATTAGTAATTGGTAGTGTGGCTGCTGGGGATTAATTGTGCTGTACTCGAATGCTTGAAGGGTATAAAAACCCTGTTTAAAGCCCCATTTGGGTGCCCCAGTTTGGCTGGGGCAGTTCATACTCATGAATAAATACTTACCCTTGTAATTGTATTCTTTGAATCCAGCCTCTCACCTCAGTCAGCATGGGCCATTCAGCACTTTTTGTAACACGAGCCCTGGGTGAGGATCCCCACTGTCACACACAGGCACCAGGTGACTTTCAGCTGATGCATCCCACCTCCCCATCTCAGGTGCTCTTTCTCAGTTTTGGCAGGGTCAGGTACTGGGGCAATGCATTCAACAAATAAATAGGGTCCAAAGGAAGTCAGTGGTGTGATCATGTCCTTTAGGTTGCTTTCCAGCCCAGGCATGTGAGTTAGCACAGACCACCTGTGCAACGAGTTCTGCAGTCCTGCATCCATCTCCGAGGACCCCAACACAAGAGGGACATGGAGCTGCCCAAGTGAGTCCAGAGAAGGCCGCAAAGATGCTCTGAGGGCTGGAGCACCGCTACTATGGAGACAGGCTGAGAGAGCTGGGCTTGTTCAGCCTGGAGGAGGCTCTGGGGAAACCTTAGAGCAGCTTCCAGTGCCTAAAGGGCTGACAAGAAATATGAAGAGGGACTTTTGACAAGGACCTGTAGTGACAGGACAAGGGGGAATGGCTTTGGGCTGACAGAGGGGAGAGGTAGATTAGACATGAGGAAGAAATTCTTCTGTGTGAGGTTGGTGAGGCCCTGGCATAGGTTGCCCAGAGCAGCTGTGGCTGCCCCATCCCTGGCAGTGTTCAAGGCCAGGTTGGAGGGGGCTCGGAGCAACCTGGTCTAGTGGAAGGTGTCCCTGCCCATGGCGGAGGGCTGGAACTGGATGAGCTTTAAGGTCCCTTCCAACCCAAACCATTCTGGTTTCCTTGAACAAGAGCAAACAGCTGAGACATTTCCCTGGGAGAACAGATGCCACTAATAAGGCAGTAAATAAAATCCATGTGCAGTGCTTTACAGTTCAGTTGTAATTAACTCTGCACTGCCAAAAGAACTGAAGCCGTAACTGCACATTAATTACACATTAATGTGAGCATTCATCCTCTCTCTGCTGGCTAGCTCTCTGGAGACCATGGCTTTTATTTCACTTTTGCATACGCCAAAACCACTGTGGCCCGGTGGGACCTGTGTGGAGCCAGAACACTGGGGCAGTTCCTGCTGCTCCTCCTAAAAGCCCAGCAAGGCTGAAAGTGAATCCTGGCAAGTTAACATCCACTTGCGACAGCAGGAGGAGCAAGGTAAGAGTATGAAGGACTCCACTGCTCTCCAGAGACTGTGCCCAAACACACACAGCCCATAATACAGGTCAAATTCAAGCCAACTGATGTTTGGGAATGCTTTATGCTGCCAAACCTGCCAGCACCGCGGAGGCACGCTGGATCAGGCCCTTGCTCCGGGTCTATCCCAGCAGTGCCCCTGGCTCTGTGGGAGTCCCTGTTCCTGCTGGGGCTCAGCTCCATCCTCCCAGAAGCCACCATGGTGCTGTCCTGGTGTGGCTGCTGCTGCTGTGGGTGATGGATGAGGAACCTTGCTGCAGAGCAAGGGAAGTATCTCCATCCTTAGTAGAGAAGTATTCAAATGACCTGGCAAGGGAGAACACATGCTCTGGTATGCCAGGGTTAGGACCTCCCTCTTGCATCTTACCGCCAGTACCCCAAAGGCACTGTTGGGTCCTGTTTCTCCAACAAATTGCCAAAAAAGATGTCTCCTCCCATTCCAAGGGCTTTTCCTGCAGCAGTGCCTCTTGCCTGATGGGCATCTGTTACCGATATTCAACCATGTTTGTGTTCACTCCACTGCCATCCATTATATATGGCCAGGATGGATTAGTGGGGCTCGGTTACACGTGAGAACTTCCATCAAGGGGCTGGAATACAATCAAGAAGCAGCAGATCAAAGCCTTAAACACCAATCACCTGGTGAGGATCCATTACAGATTCAGCCTCTCAATCCCTCCCCAGCCCTGGCACAGGCTGATGCCCAGCACAAGACAGGTCTTGTGGGGACATGAGCTGATGTCACCCTGCAATACAGCCACAGCTCCAGAGTGCACCTTCCAGGGGTGCATTCTCACAGGGATAAGCAAAGCAGCATGGAAGAAACCAGTAATGGCCCATCTCCTCCAGCTGCAATTATCATTCTTCCCTCTCTACCAGTTCTTGAGCCATATTCAAGAATATCAGTACCATGTCAGGTCAGAAGGGACCTTACAGGATCATCCAGTTCCTGTCGGCAGCACATTCTTCATGAGGCTAGGAAAAGCCTGGTTCTGTACTCCAGGATTGCCCCAAATCCTTTCAAGTCAGCTGGACAGCACCATCAGTTCTCTGTCCCACAGCAAGACACAGGTGCTCACTCCAAACATATAAGCCATATTTCATCAGGCAGGAGCTGGAGTTTTTAGGTTCTGTCACTGCAGTACAAATCCATTCCTGATCCTGCTGCTTCTGCAGCTTTATTCAGGTTGGTGAGAAAGGACCAGGAGGTTGGAATTGCAACCCAACACCTAATGAACAGGAATCAAAAAGCCCCCCTGCAACCACTGCCAGAGCAGAGGAGGGACACACAGATCACTGTGCAATCACGCCCAAAGACACAGCTATAAAAATAAAAGCTTTTTTATTATTATTTTTTAATATACCATTACAGAAACATCTGAGTAACATTCTCAACAGGACAGGCAGCTCCGCATCCCCAGGGTGAGCGCAGGCAGCTCCAGGGTGTGCCATGCTGTGCTCCCAAGCTGCCAGTGCTCTCGGTGCACGACACTCCGCTCCTCACCCTTGCAGGGAGACACGGCCCTCCTGGCATCAGGGTGTCACCTTTTTGTAGGTAATGTGGAGGTGCTGAGTCATGGGCTGCGTAGTGGTTGCCATTGAGACAGTTTGTTCGAGTTTCCCGTCGGAATTGAGCCTGAATTTTCTGGTAATCTAAAAAGGAGTAGGAAAAAGAAGAATAAAATCAAGCAAGCAGCTTCCACAGGATAGATTTCTCACCAGTGCTTTCCACCTTCCCTTTGCCATCCTTGTGTTTGTTGTTAACACGCCACAGATGGAAGGATATGCTCAATACAGGCACACAAGCTCCAGTGAAAGGCAGGCATTCCTAAAGCATCCTGATGAGGCCAAATACTGGACATACGTACATGTGCACCCTGATACTGTAATTAATCCAGAAGACCAGCATTAAGAAGTAACAATTTTACTATTCTGTGTAATAGAAAATTACACTTCTGGAGGCAGTATTCTGGGCTGCCTGGTCTGATTCAGCACATCTAATGATCCCTTTGTGTCTTGTAATGTATGAAACGTCTTCTGAAGGCTGTAACAGAAAGGATAAGCCAGGATGCCTTGCAATACTACCAAGAATTCTGGATGGCAATCTGTAATTAAAGCATGCTCATCAACCTGCTCTCTCGACTAAACACCTCCTGGGGCTGGCAGTACTAGGTGAACTTTTCACCACGTGTACACTCACCTGTTCTACATGGGGCTTCTTGGCAAAGGAGATCCTGGCTATAGAGTGAGATGCTATAGACAGCTCTTGTCCATTCACCTCTCCTTCCTCCACCTCCACCAGACCTAGTGAAAAGAACATCATATATACTACTAGGTTACAAAGTTTACTCAACAGTTATTAGGCTATGCAACAGACCACCACTCTCCCTGAAGAACAGTTTTGACCTAGCACATACTGACAACTGCAAATCCATGCAACCTCAGACATGTAATGCTGCTTAGAGAAACCTAGTCAGACAGACTTACTCATAACATATGGGGAAAGTATTGCACTGCAACTGGCAGCTTTCCCTTCAGAACCTGCTCCAGAGTTCTAGACCCAAATTTAAATGTCAACTGGGTTTTAACACTCTTTCACTTACAATAATTTAGACATAGTTCTCATTCAGTACCTGTAAGGCATGTAACAAGTACCAAGGCACTACATCCACATGGTGGGAGATTCTCCTAGTTTAGGAACTAAGAAGACTGTACCGAGATCACTCTCAGACTGTTTAGGGAACAACAGGAAAGAAGCTTCCCTGCTACGGTGCTGCAGAGGCTCTTGGTAGGCCACAGTCTGAGCAGGGTGTCCAATAGGGAAGCTGCTATACTGGTCATACCAAATAGTCCTGAATGGAGACCATGTAAAGGGGGTTTAAAACCACTACAGCCTCACCCTGCCAGGGTCACAGCCTCAATCCTGCACTGCAGAATCCAGTACGGCAAGTGTTGACATTGGTAACAACAGTCTAAGTGGGATCTTCCATCTCTCCCTACTTTGTACGAGCAGCTGGCCAAATATGACACGATAAAAGGAGGACACAAACCAAAGCATGCACTTTTATATCTACCACAGGGCCCACTGTGGCCAAGTTATAGAAGCAGTGAACATGAAGCATCTTATCTGTACGCATTCCCCTGCCTCCCCACAAAAAAAGACTAGGATGCTATGTAGGCATCAGGAATGTCATGGGACACTTCTCACCTGTCATCATTAAAGCTTAGTCTGCAATTCTTGTTAGAGGCAGATGTTCTGTTGATTTACAAAGCTATGTCTGCAAATACCAACATATAATTTGATAAAAGAATACTCCTCAAGTCTCCTGCATGCATGGTATTTCAGTTTGCCTGTCTTTGCCTTGGCCCTTCCTGCCACAGAAAGCTTGAAAGCTACAGTGTCTAGACAAAGGCAAACGGCCAGCCCTAGGAACACAGTGCTTCTGACACAAGCTCATTTATTAATTTGTTTTCACTGGGGATTCAGCTTGAAAAACAATGAAAAAGATTAAAAATGAAACTGTGAGAGATGCAGTAATTTTCTGGACAAGTGATGACAGGGTAAGGACCTATTCTTCCCCTCAGTGTGGTTATTAGGTGTGTACCTGTGTTCTGAGCACTGATGAAGGCCACCTTATTCGTGTCGGGTTTGAGGCGGATGAATCCACATTCTCGGTGCATGGGCTTCCTGGTGTCTGGATGGAAGGCATTGAACCTGAGGGGAAATCAGAATACAAAAGCTGCTGTTTGTTGCACTGAAAATAGTGTTTGGTCTAATTTCATCTCAGAAGCAATGGTATTGTATTTAACCACATGACTGCCTCCAGGATTATATGAAGAGTAAATGAATGACAATGCTTCATGCTTGGGAAATGCAAACGCATAAAAATATGGTTCCTTTACAGGCACAGCTATTCCTCAGTGGCTGGAGTTATTTAAGTTCAAGCTTCAGATTTTTCACAGCTCCTGGGTCTTTAAGAGCTAGCTGAGAAAGTCCCTCAGGAAGTCAGACATTTCACAGATGCTGAAGCCATACTCTGTCTCAAATACTTCCTTTTCTCAAATAAATATCTGGAATTACAGTATCATCTTTATTTAGCTTTTAAACCTGGCAAGTTGCTTGGGGTTTTTTTTTTTGTGTATTACTTGCTGCAGGCAGTAACAGAGCAGACTTATTTCTTCATCACCCCCTTCAAAAAGAAAGAAAGTTCAGCTCAGATTCTTATTTGTCCTTCATGAGGCTTTACAGTTGTATGTTTAGTCACATGCAATGTGGGTGATTTTATATATATCATACAATGTTCATATATTACATTAGGGCTACACCACTCCCGAGTCTACACAGGTAAGCAAATTAAACAGCAGCTTGAACACAACAGCAAGTTAGGTATCTATATAACGTAACATACTATTCTGTTGGTGTTTCTAGACCTCACAGCTGCTAAACCTGCATGAGAACTCCCTCATGTGACAGCAGTTTCCACGCATGCCTCTGCTGTTCAACTGGGATGTGCCTACTGGAAATGGCCAACACGAATCACCTTGGGCACTGCAACCCATCCTGGGACTGTAGATCGTACTGTCAGCTGCCAGTCCCGTGGTGGCAAGTGTGCAAGAAGAGCTTGACCAAGGGGCTTGTCCAGGTGCTGGCATGTCAGAAGCTGGAGCATTTATTTATTAAAGCAGCCCTGAGAGCTGAAAAGCCCAAAGCAAGTATCTCCTTTGTGAAGTAAAATATAATGAATCACGTTGAGTCAACGTTTCCTAGACCACCAGCAGCACAGGAACAGCACATGGTACCCCTACACTTGGTACAAGAAGCCTGTGGGTTTCCTGAAGACCAGGAAGTGGAAGCTCAGCTAAGGCATGCAGCTGAGGAGTAGTTTAGGTGCCTTGCAGCTGCTTCTTGCTCCTCCTGTTTGGTTTTGTCTCTGTATAAAGGAGGTCTCCTTTTAAACCATATGTTATAGGAAGAACCAGGAATGACTTCTGCCAGTGGAGCATGGCTGCATCTGCACTAAGGGACTGTCCTAGCATCTTCAGCCTCTGTGCTCTGCAGCTACTGAAGCCACAAACCCTATGGAGTCATGTCTCATTGTGGGATTATCTAGCATCACAGGAAAAACAAAAATCAGCCTTCTTACAGTGCCTGAAGTATTCAAGAGACATATGGACTGTCTTACAACAGTCAAAAAAAACTTGACTCAAATCAGCAAATGTTCAGAAACTGGAGCAGGAGATGCAGACAGAGCATGACTGTCAGAGCTTTGCTTCTCTTGGAAACTGGATTTAAAATGTCACATACTGAGCTCTGCTCCAGTGAACAGTACACACTAGGAACACAAAGCATCTTTCACACAGCACTGGCATCGTGTAATTGGTCCTTGCAAAGCAACAAACTTTCTAACTCACCCTCTCAAATAAGTATTGGAGCAGCCCTGAACATTTAGCTAACATGTCACTTCACTTCCTCTAGATTTTTCTTAGAACAATTACTTGCAACCAAGGATGTTAAGCTATCTGCCTCCTATCCCATGGAGTCTGTCAAACACTATTTCTTTTCAGTTTTCACAGTGGCAAAGACTGAGGACCATAAAATGGACAAACTTGACAGCCATGCAATAGCTCCTTCATTTATTTTATCTCTAAGTGGGAGTTTCACAAAACACAATGATAGCAGCTGTCATGCTATTACCCAAAGACCCATTTCTAATTAGACAGCTACTGCCAGCAAAAAGAATGGCGAGTTTTTTTCTGGCCATGAAGACCGTACATCTTTTGGCTAACATATGCACCCAGTGCACATCATGTTAAAGTGGAAGAATCACTGTTCTTTCAAAAGACAGGTATGGAATTTGCGTAAACAATAGCCATCCTCAGGCTGGGACCATTCCTGGTACCCTAAGTTACTCCCATTATTCTAAGTTATGGTCACATTTGCAGCACCCTGAGGTAGACTTCTCACTGTGTAACCCAAGAACTGTACACTGCACCATGCTCATAGTCCTGATCCTGTGCACGTGTCCTGCACGAGTTCACAGGTGTGAACTCGCTTCTGAAAGCCTCTGTGGAAGTGCACTTGTACTCTCAGGTGAGTGAATTTTCAGTGACTGCAGGTGTGCAGCTCTGGGTATGTTGCAATAGCATTCCAATTAATCACAGGTTTTAAAGGAAAACAGAAGTCAGACCACACAGTTATGTATTATTACATCATCTCATTTGGTAAGTGAAAATCTGTTTACTTTGCCACCAGAAGAGAAACCCAACCAGCAAATCTCTCTGGAGTCATGCCTCCTCTGGTCCAAAAGCTGCTGCCAACAGAGACAAACCCCATGACTTACGAGAAGTTGAGCATGGGTTGCCCCACGTGAGAGATGTGCACTTCTTCAAGGTACTGGAAGGGCTTCATTGTAGGGAAGGTGCCATCTCCTGGTGGGTCTGAGAGCCATGTGCCCAGCATCCAGGACAGAGGTTCCATCACAGGATTCAGCTGTGGGGTCTCTGGGGGGAGGAGAAGAAAGAATGAAGAAAGAAATAGAGGGATCCGTGCTCTGCAGCTTGCCAAGAGCTGCCTACAGCTGGGTGGAGGTGAGCACAAAACACCTCAGGAATGGTCCAATGCAGCAGCAACACTTATCTCTAGGGCAGTGTCAGCTCAAAGGTGCAATGGGAGATGGGGAACAGTCACAGAAAATAGGTGTGTTTTCAAACCTGCTCTTGGCCTTACATAGAGCACTTTTTCAGGTGGTCCATTTCTGCCTTCTCTCTGTTAGCTTGATCTGAAGAGAAAGCCCCCTCCCATCTATACACAAGGAAGACAACCAAAATCTCAACATAAAAAAAAATAATCACTAAATGATAATTAAATCTCTAATGCTCTGGCCTGATTCTTCCCAAGCACCAAGTACATACTGCTCCTGTTTGTTTCAGAGGCTAAGGAAGTAAGTCTTCACTTAAGAGGAAAACCAGGCTGCAAACATATTCAAGATCAAAGTTTGGCTGCAGTTTTTCTGAAGAGGTTAACAATGACCTGCACTTGTACAGAGACACAGGGATCATTCAGGATTTGTTCTCCTTAGGCTCTGGACTAAGGTTAAGTGACATGTTTTAAAAAGACTATGGAGCCTGAAAGTTAAAGCATAAACAGAAGAGCAAGCTACTTCCCTTTGTCATTGCTTTTATTAAAAGCAACCAAGGTCTGTTTCACAATGTTAAAACTTTTTCAACAAATCATTTTAGAAGATGGGAGTTGAAGAGGGTTGTTTTCACACCTAGTGATATCATTTAATACAAGAACAAGCTACCTGCCCAGCTGGTCTAAAAGGCACAAATTCAGCTTCAGGGAGAAGTTATCACTTCAAGAGGTGATGCTGTGGCTAAAAATTTGCTTGCTCAGTCTGAGTTTCACTGTGCTCAGTCCCAAATGTCAAGCTAAAAAGATTGAGCAAGGAGGAAGAACGGAGAGTATGCACCTGAAATGCCAAAGACAGGGTAAGAGAGAAGGTCTCCCAGATAAGAGAGACACACGTTATACATCCTCCCACAGAGAGCAGGTTTCAGAAACCAGCTGCCATGTCAGCAGCATGCAACCAATTAATCTTCTTTACCCTGAAGTATTTTGCAAATGAAGCAACTTGAGAAAACATGACAGCTCCCTATGAAATCAATGATAAAAATCTGTGGCATCAGCCAGCCTTTACAAAGGCTGTCCTGACAGCATGTGTGTTCACCACTAGCACACCTAGGTGTGCAGGAGTGCCTACAATCCACACAGCAGTGCTAGTGTACAGGACAGTATTTTGTTGTACTTACCTTCCACCTGTACTGTGAGCAATCAAAGCAACAGAACTTTATTTTCTGGTGTAGCAAAGGCCTCAACACAGTGACGACTGATAACCAAAGTCCAAAACTTATTGCTACATGAAACCCCATACTCTGACGCTGCTTCTTAAGAACCAGCTTCCCTTTCTACTGTCATGTTGAGAGCATGTAGTTTTGCAAGTAAGGAGAGTATCACTACCCCATCCAACTGGTATTTCCCTTTCACTTGCTACTGCACACACTGCATTTCTCTCCAAGCTTTTTTCAGGCTCACACTCCCATCGTGGAAGGGAAGAGCAAAGCTCTGGAAAAGCCAGAAGACACTGCAGCCTGGGCTGCTGCTGCCCTCTCCTGGGTCAGGAGGTGGCAATAAATCCTAAGAAGCAGGATGCTTTCTGCTACCAGAGTGCTTGTAATATGACACTTAATTTTCTTCTGCTTACCAACCTTCCAGCATTTCAGGAGAAAGCATCAAAAATGACAGGTGAAAGAAATAACTTTAGCTATTGCCACTCTTTATACCTGGTTATAAACCAAGAGAAGTCAACTGATAGTTTCCAGCACCCACAGCTTGACCCCATTGTCTTGCTGGGCAATCTGGCTAGAGGGGCAGCCTCGTCTCACTTCTAAAAAGCTGGACTTCCAGCCAGCTGAAAGGTTAAGGTGTAACTATATTATCTGAAGTCTATGGCATGTGGGCAAACAACACGGCCAAGCAACCATTATTACCTAATAGCAGTGAAGCGAACATGAGATTTTTAGATCTTAAGTCACCTGGAAATACTAAGAGTAACAGAAACACTGGTGTGAAAAAGGACCAGAGACTCAAAGAAGTGCAGAAGAGAAGACACATCCTATACAGTGCTTTTCTTACCTTCAGTATCAGTCTCCGACTCGTGGATTAAATCACTTTTCCACCCTGACAGCCTCCTCTTCCAGAGGGCTGAGAGTGGGAAAGCAAGAGTGGGGAGGCAGACAGGAGAGAGGATAGTTGAGCCCATTAGGAAAGAAGTGATTTGAAAAGGTATTTGTTTCTTATGTCATGGTTTGGGTAGGTAAATACAAGACTACTGAAGCAATAAGTAGAGTTTAAAGAAGAATATATCTTTGCAGAGCTGCTTTGTTTCAAGCAACAGGTTTATAGATGCAGTCCCTGTCAAGAGAAAATTTCACTGACGAAGGAGCATGTACTTCCCTTCTTTAAAGATCTAAACTCCTGGCACATTACTTTTACAAACAACTTGCTACTATGGCTTAAAAAGTGTGTGACAATAGCAAGAATACAAACCACACCTGAGAATTTTCAGTGCAAGAGAAATTTTCTGTATGTTTAAAGCTTCAGACTCAGATGGGGTGCTCTTAATGCTGGTTCTCTTGTATCCACATGCAGAGAATTCCTTTAATCCAGTACTAAATCTGGACCTAGCATCTTTAGACCTCTGTTCCCCTATGAAATCCAACTGAAATCAGCCACAACACTCACAAGTTGCAACAGCTTGGGAGACAAAAACGTCATAAGGCACACAAGTGACCTGACCACCTAAATCTCTTTCCTTCAGCAAGGCACTCCAGCAGTCAGCTCTGTTTCACCATCTGACCCTACTTCATCCCTCCAAACTCACAGATGAACTGTTTCCACATCTTTCTCATTCACAGAAGGAGTTAGAAGTCAAATCCCTCCCTGCTCTAGTCACAAACAAACTCAGACTGACCAGCTCCCACACTTGGCAGCCAGAGACAGGGCACTCTTCCTGCCATGAGACAAACCAGACAAAGCTGTCTGCACAACCCCCTTAGGCCATGTCTACACAGGCTTCAGCCAGCGTGGCTCTCAAGTGAGATCCCTGGTGGATTTTTATCCACACTAGTACAAATTCCTACACAGCTTTATCAGCAAAACTGTGGAATGAGTAGCCAGCTGGTTGGTAACAAAGCAGCTAGGGCTGCATCAGAAGCAGCATGACCAGCAGGTCGAGGAATGACATTCTCCGTCTCTATTCTGCTCTTGTGAAACTCCCTTGCAGTCCTGTGTCCAGATCTGGGGCTTTCACTACAAGAGGGATGTGGAGCTGCTTGAGTGAGCCCAGAGGAGGCCACGAAGATGCCCCAAGGGCTGGAGCACCTCTGCTATGGAGACAGGCTGAGAGAGCTGGGCTTGTTCAGCTTGGAGAAGGTTCCAGAGACCTTAGAACAGCTTCCAGTGCCTAAAGGGGCTACAAGAAATATGGAGGGACTACTGACAAGGACATGTGGTGACAGGACAAGGGGGAATGGCTTTGAGCTGACAGAGGGGATATTTACATAGGTATTAGGAAGAAATTCTTCTGTGTGAGGGTGGTGAGGCCCTGGCACAGGTTGCCCAGAGAAGCTGTGGCTGCCCCATCCCTGGCAGTTCTCAAGGCCAGGTTGGATGGGGCTTGGGGCAACCTCGTCGAGTGGAAGGTGTCCCTGCCCATGGCAGGAGGATGGGAACTGGATGAGCTTTAAGGTCCCTTCCAACACAAACCGTTCCACGCTTTCCCCTAAGCTGCAGGAATCTTAAGCAAAAAAAAACCAACCACACCAAACTAAGCAACTCAAACAAAAACAAACCCCAAGAAAAAAAAAAACAACAACAAACAACAAAAAACAAATTCACACAGCATCTTCTCAGTCTTCAAAGTGCTGGGTCTCCAGCCACAGCTGGGCAGCCTCCTGCAGTCCTTTCTTCAGTGTCACTTACTGGATTTAAATCATCATTAAGGTTCTGGCAATTAAGGAGCAGCATTGTTCAGTGCACCTTTGCTATATTTAAGTACAAAAGGTGGCTTTGTGCCCTGCTGCCCTGAGTGTTGCACCCATTTATGCACTCTGCTGATGTTCCCCACAGTAAACCAGTACAGCACTCCTACCAGTGACATGCACTAGCTCCATCTCTTCTCTAAAAACTGGGAATGTGATTCTATTTACAAATTTTCACCTTGCTGCCTATCTTAGTAACTAATTTCATGACCGAGCACTAATGTGTTACTGCCTCTGTTTCTAATCTCTGTGGTAAGGCAGTTATGACACAATGAAAACGCTGGACATGAAACTAATCTGGAATGTGTACTCAGCATGGTCATCACCTCTGTACTTCGAAAGTCATCTGTTGGGAACTACTAATAATTACACCTTTTGCTTTTTTTCCTTGGAAAGCCAACCCATGTGGGAGACAGCTTTATTCCTCCTTCCTCTAGATGTCTTCATTCTTCTCTCGTCTGACTACAACAGCGTTAGAGAATTTCAAAGATTTTGAATATCCTTTGAATATGCTTAAAACCAACCTGGTCCTTTTGCTGGGAACCTGCACGTTGCTCAACATAGTCTGGGTCCTGTTTAAGGTTCACAGCTTAAGGTAACAACTATTTAAGAATACCACTTGGAGATCTTCCCCAGGGCTGGAAAGTTATGAGTGACAGGGTGTGGGGGATAGTATGGACAAGGACCTAGGGCAGTGGACAGCTCCACTGCTTCAGGAGCTCACCCCTGAGGAAGTGCAGAATCCAGAAAAACTAGTATAATATTTGGAAAGAGTATGCTGTCACCCTGCAATTCCAGAGACACAAATCACTGCAACATGCTGGGGCCTGGTCCAAGAAGAAATGGACATGAAAATCATCACAGTTACTGAAGGAGAATGGAAGCAAGGCCATCACAAG